TTCCATTCTTTTAAAGACTCTTGAGAAATTATTGACATTTTCGAGAATGCTACTGAAACAGAGTTCACTTTTGCAATTCTATTGTCCTTATCAGTTGGTCAACCCAAAAATTTAGCTCTGATAGTACTTCTGTAATCATTTGTCTCGTGGTTTTGAAGTATGGATTCGCGGTTTAGTGGATATTAAATTAAATAACGTTTTCCGATATTAAACTAAGTACAACGTTAAGAAAGATTGGAAAAATGGAAATAAATTCTTTGGTGTATATATTTTGACTCTCGACGATAAGGCCAATAAAAATCCCTGTTCCATGACCCACTGCCCGCTAACTCCCCATTAGCTATATGGTTATTGCATTACTACATACTTATATATTAATAGGTCATTATAAGATAAACGGAAAATTTAATAATACAAGAAAATCAATATTCATTTATGTTCGCAAAATTTTATTATCTCCAGGAACAAAGACATACGAATTTGGTAACTCCACACTACGCATGCGCCCAGCTGTCACAATTCGACAGATCAAGGGAAGCGACGAAATGCGTTGAAAACACAATTCTTTTCGTCCTCAAACCATTTTATCGATGGCGGAAAAGCAGCAAGAGAGCCTAATTCGCCATGAAATCGTTTTAATAAACGGTGTTCATACAAAAATCTCTTGTGCAATTCCAGAAGTTGATAACGACCGATTCTGTGTTGTAGTAATCCCGGGTAATCCCGGCAGCATTGAATTTTATGACATTTTCATCGATACTCTCTTTAAAGAATGTGGAAAGAAGATTCCTATATACGGCGTTGGACATGCAGGTAAGAAATAGGAAAAAAAATTCAGTTTATTTCAATGAAAATTAGTCGTAATTTAGGAAAAATGTTCGAAATTGTTTTCCACTCGAGCTTCTATTGAAAACGTTCACTCCAACAATATTTTGTCAAATTAWSCTCTTCTGACATAATTACTACAATTTGTAGTCCAATATTTCAAATTGTAAATCTATAAAGTAAATTTTTACACGGCGAATCTGCTGTAGTTCGGTTCCTAGCCGTTTTCAGAATTGTCATATTCAAAATGATWTKCACCTGTGAGTGTTTTCACTCCACTCAAACAAAAACAATTTTTCGTTAAATTATGCATTGTTTTTGTCGTCTTCACCATCTTTGGTCCCCTGGGTTGTTGTGATTATCGCACTAATTCTTTTAATTTTCATTAAGACAATAGCAGTTTGTAACATTACCGAAAAGGGACAGTTTTTCAGTTTTCATTTCTAGTAATACTGTTTTCAAATTAAGATGATTTTGCTTGGGAAATTGCGTATGTAAGCTTAGGTGAAAAACTAATTGCTATAGGTGATTTTTCTGTATAATCATTATTTTTTCTCATAAATTTTTCAGTAAACGAGCATTCTTCATTGAAGATGCCAAAAGAAGTGATTTTATTCTTTTTTATTCGATATAATGTCAAACTCAAAATCATGTCCCTGCGTTCAAAATCATGAAATAGTCAAGGAAAGTCCTTCAGTTGCCAAAATGGCTGGCGCTAATCGTGACATTTGTAGGCCTAGAGCAAAAGGAAACATAAAATACTTAAAATATACCTCTCGGTATAAAAATGCTGAGTACGTAATCGAGTAAAACTGTGTTACTAATTTACGGGGAAATTGTATTGAAAAAATAAGCATACTCAAAAACGTTTTTGCTTCTTATCTAATACATTTTTTCAGTTGCACTTAGGGCTCGATAGCAAGTTCATTATTCTTTTGAATTTGACAAATGAGACCATTCATATCTATGTTTGCACTGCTCACATTCCTACAAATTCAAAAGAATATTTAACACGCTGTCCCCAGGCCTAAGAGCAACTGAAAATGTATAAAGTATATTCCTTTTAACTAGTATTTCAGGGCCGACTTTTTTATTTATTTTGAAAAAAATAAATAAAAGAAAAACTAATGAGGGGCGGCCATTTTCTTTTAACAAGAAACAATTTCCCAGATACCCTTTCGACCTTCGCTCCATGCATGCCAACAGCCAATCAGTGCGCGCGATTTCAATATCTCGAACATCATAGTTTTGCTAGTTGTTTTGTTATTTAACTGTAACCAGAAATCATTTGATTCGATTGAAACATAAAAATTCCTGTTTCACCCTTATAGTTACAAATTAGATGTGCTTTGCGCGTCTCGATAGATGTTTACGATGTAAGATGGTAGTCATGGAAAATGATTGAAAACAAAGGAATGGAAACGAGGCTTAAAAGGTCCCTGGGGGAGTTAAGATGGCATTAAGTACTCTAAGGATTCTCCATTCACGACAACTGAATTCAAGAAAATTTCTTGTCTGTAGAAAAAAGGACATTTCCTAGCTTGCTTCTTGTAAAATTCAATAAGAATATGTTTCTATTCCTAAGCTACTTTCGGTTTGTCTCGCAAAGAGCACATATAATAGCTGATTTGCGAATTTCGCTCCAGTTTTCAAACACAAAAAAATCAAGACGAGGCGCTGTGTGTAAAGCTCAGTCAATCGTTAAAAACTATTGTCTTTTCATGAATGACTGAACTTTATGCACGGCAAAATTCTTCTATTTTGAAGCCCAACACATCACTTATTCGTAAATTTCTAGGAAAAAATAAAATGAATAATTGACGTGCTTTCCTGTTCTAGGTCATTGTCAATTAGATGAGTCTGGAATGTTCAGTTGTGGTCGACCAAGAACTGTCGAACACGAGCAACATCACGCAGTAATGCACTTAGAGGACCAAATCTCTCACAAACTCTCATTTATTGCCTATCATTTACCACAAGACTGCAAAGTAATCCTCGTTGGRCACTCAGCTGGCGCATACATAGCCCTGCAGATGATGAARCGYTATCACRATAAGGAYAAATTCATTAAAGGAGTTCTACTTTTTCCCGCCATTGAGCACGTKATGGAGTCGCCCAGYGGTCGACTTTGGTGGGTCGCGTGTTTTTACTTYCAATGGCCRTTCTTGCTYATGACTTTCTTTTTTTCCTTGATGCCGTCTTTCTTTAAGAAGTGGTCCATTGGATGGTGGATGCACTTAAACAAACACAGCTCAAAGGATAGTATTGTCAATGCAACCCATGCTTTYTTGAATTATCGCTCAATGGAAAACATGTTAAAAATTGGACGGGACCTGGGCACGATTAAAGACATTGACGTCGAAAGCGTCTCGCAAAATATCGAGAAACTTACTTTTTATTACGGCGCACGTGACCCTTGGGTTCCTCGGTCGTGTTACGAACAGATGACGAAGCGATTTCCCGAAGCAGACGTCATGATCTGTGACGACGACATTCAGCACGCGTTTGTATTAGATGCATCAGAGACAGAAAAACTGGCGCGAAAAGTTTGGGGATGGCTTGAGAAAGAATTCACAATGGTGTAATAATTCAGTCTGAAATTTTGTTCCAGGAACTCACTTCTTCACTTATACGCCGGCGGTCGATATTGAATGCCAAATATTGAACGAGATATTTGCAAAATAAGGTGGCTGTAAATATATTTTGTGAATTGATTGGTAAATTGATTGATTGATTGGTTGTTGTTTGGTTGGTTGATTAAACCGCGCTACTAGTAATTATTTAAAAGTATTTAAAACTTTGATATATGCGGGCATTTCAAACCCTATCCGCAAAATATATATTTGTATTGAATCAATGAATAACAACTGATATTGCATGATGAAGTATATCTATTTTGGTCCGTACTCAACAATGAGTTTTTGGATTCAGTTTAATTTTGTATATTAATAAAAGTAAACTGTTTTACTCGGGATTTTACATAAGTCATGATTATATACCTCTTTCAACCTTGAGTCTGACAAAAAGGCAGACTTGTGCATAACGTGGTTCCTGACTGCTGTTATCACACAGCCCGAGCCCCTGCTCCAGCCCCCCTATATTCAACGCTGCGCCTAGCTTCACGATGTGCGGTTTTCAAAAGCAACGTTAGCTTTTTCTTCGAAAATTACGTACAAGCTTGTGCAGTTACACGATGGTCACAACAAATTCATCATCCTTTTCATTATCCTTCTATTTGACATGACATCTGCACAAACAGTATATTAAAATGTAATATACGCTGCTTGCGACAAATAGAACCAACATAAAACATTAATAAAAACTAAGGTAAATAAACTTAAAAAACATATAAGGTTGGTCGAGGGTCTCGATGGGGGGGTCCGCATCACGACTCACGGCTAAAAATTTGGCTTTTTCACGCCTCACTGCTAATTTTTTGCATTTTCACGACTCACGGCTAATTTTTCAGCCGTTTCACGGCTCGTGGTTAATAACCCCATTGAGACCCTCTTGGTTACTAGAATTAGATCATCAATCAACACTGTAGGTGTTTACCCTTATTATATTTCACTGTTATTAACTCAAAACATCATTGTACGTAAGACTAAAAAATTTCGACATTGTCAATTAATCTAAGTTCTAAAGGGTATTTTGAGAACTGGAAAATTGGTGTCATGTATGTGAAAACTAAATCATAAAATAATGTCGTCAGATCCAAATTCTTTCTGGACTTTTCTGACACACGTCTTTTTCCAAGAAACCTCTAAAGCAGCTGCACAGCACTTCGTATCATCTCGAGTCTCTTGCAACGACAGAAATTGAGAATTTGCTAATGCTGTCACCGTACTGTGTTATCTCACAGTTTTTCTTTTAGAATTTTGGACGTCTTAACTGCAAACCTCAGTCATACAGTAAACACCCGAAAATAAGAACYTAATTGATTAAGAACCTCTTGGCAGAAATTTACCATTTTAATAACCCCTTAAATAAGAGCCAAACATTACCAAGCAGGTTCTTATAATATGGATTAGAGCTAAATTACAGGATAAACAAACGACAATACTCAATTTGAAAATTGCGTACAAATACTTTTACTGAATTTACTTACAGTTTTTGAGTTGATTATTTACTTGTTACAATAGTTGAAAGTTACAGTGTTATACATAATATTATAGTATAACATATAATTATAGCCCATATTCAGCTTATATATTATTTTTATATATATGCAAAACAATAACAACTGTATCCCCCCTGTTAGCAATTAAGAACCTAATTGAGAATCTACTTTGCCAAAATTACTAACAACTACCCCTTAAAACATGAACCTTTTTGCCAGACTTTCAAAAAACAAGGTTCTTATTTTCAGGTATTTACTGTATTTAAAACTTTGATATATGCTGGCATTTCATATCCCACTGACTACAGTTCCTGACTACAGTTATCACACAGCCCGAGCCCGAGCTCAATAAGCCAAGACGCACTTCTATTTCCAAGAATCTTCTACAGCAACTGCATAGCACTTCAAGTCACCTCGAGTCTCGCAACGACAGAATTAGCATTTGGGTGCTCTCACTTTAATACTGTCACAGTACGTACTGTGTTTTCTCACAGTTTTTCCGAATTTTGGGCGTCTTTACTGCAAACCGCTGTCATATCAATTACT